CTGCGTGCTGGGCCGGGGGGGCTGGGGGGGCTGGGGCCGGCTCGGGCGGGTGCCGCTGGCAGCGAACGTGTCGCAGCTTAGCAACAGGATTTAGCAAACCAGTTTGGTCTGCGCGGGTGGGGCAGCCCAGCTCAGGAGATTCCTGCGGGCTCTGGTGTTGCTGTGGAATGTGGGGAGGGGAGGGGAGGGTGTTCCTCGCCCGCTGCTCACCGTCCCCTCCCTGCCGAGGGAACGAGGGACGTGAAGCAGCTGCGCCGCTGCCCCCGGATCCAAGTGACATCTCCCCCGGGCACGGGGGTTTCGCCGCAGCTCCTCCTAGGGAAAATGACGCCGGGGAATGCTGCGGCTCCCCTGGCAGAGCCCCGCGCTGGGTCGTGTCGCAGCACCGGGTGTTCCTGCGAGACCCGAGACGGGACTTGTGCAGTGACGCCGGCTCAGCAGCTGCCACCGGCTCTGCTGGACCTCGACAGGGCAGGAGGAGGGAGTGTCTCAGGACAGCTGAGAACGTGTTTCTGCTTGTTTAGGTTTTTTTGTTGTTGTTTTCACTGGGGACTGTTTTTAGGTGACCGCGGGTGGGTGCTCCCAGGGTGTGAGCTTACACACCACTGCCCGGACTGGAAGGGTGACGCTGCTCGGGGTGTGCTGGCACACATAAAGCATCTCAGCCTCTTTGTTTTGAAAGGAACAGGGCTGGGCAGGGTTTCAGGCCTGGCTGTCTCCTTTTTGGCACCCCGGGTAGGACGTGTGACTCAGTAGGACGTGTGGCTCGCTCGGTTTGCTCAGCGGTTGGACCAGTCTGTCACCGGGAAGGGGCTGTGGGCCCCGTGTCTGTCGGGGCTGCAGCTCGGGCGCGTTCCGGCCCCGCTCCGAGCGGACGCTCCGTGTCCTCGGTCCCCTGACACCAGCGAGGTGGCTCACGCTGCCGGGCACTGTTCTCCTCTCACGCGCTGCAATACCCACGGGGCCGTTTGAATTACGTCTGCAAAGCCAACGCGCCCCCACTTGAAGCAGTCAGGTTTAATATTTATTTTTTCGCAGTCACATCCATCTTCTAAACTTGAGGAGGCCACAGTTTCCAGTGAGGGATGCAAATGAAACCGAAACCAGCGTTTCCTCCTTTCCCATTCAGGGATACGGGGGGTGAGAGGTGCTGTATCATCAGTGACAGGCAACATTGGCACCTTCTCTAGAGCCAAAAGATGGTTACGTTTGGGAGAACGTCATTTTCCCTTCCGATTTAGTGGTGTCTGTTGCTAAATTACTGTTACTCGGTGTTGGGTCCCTTGATTCTTGTGTCACGAAGCACATTTATAGAATTGCAGTGACCTGAGTCAGATCACTCGTCTGTACGTTCAGAGGGGAAGCGAGGCACAAACTTCCCAAGATGGGAACAAGGAAGGATCCGGGTTCAGGGCCGAGCTCCCTGTTCAGCCTCAGTCACTCAGAGCTGGGTGTGACCGAGGGGCAGGGGCACCCCCCGAGGCACCCCCCGAGGCGGGGGAATGTTCCTGTTGGGGTGGCAGCAGCTGGTGGGACTACGTGAGCACTTAGGGCTGGAGCTGCTGCCCCTTTAATCTCTGTATGTGCTGGAGAAAACATAGATTTTCCCCAATTAACAAAACATTTGAGAGCAAAAAAAGGGGTAAAGGAAGTTGGAACGGCTGAACCTGCCTAGGTGAGTTTTTGGAGAAGAGTCTTGTTCTGTTATTTAAACACTTTAAGGTTAAAAAAAAAAAAGTTTTTTCAGGTGCCTGCTGCGTCGCTGCTGGCGCGGGGTGACCTCTCCCCCTCTCCCGCCCACAGGCACTAGCAGTAGGTGGCCTGGGCTCCATAGTCAGAGTTCTCACAGCCAGAAAGACTGTTTAAAGACTCTTAACTCGAACCAAGACGGCGATGGGTTTGGGACTCGGAAGAAGGAACGAGCTGAAGCGACACTGGTCCATCCTTACTAGAGATTGCAATCTCCTGAAATCCCATGGGAACCTCCAGGAATGCTGCTCACCCAGAGGCTGGGGACGAGCTTCCCGCCTGCTCCAGCTCCCTTTAGAGGCAGAGTGAGCCCGCTCCTGCCTCCTGGCACTGTAAAGCCAACAGGGATTTTCAGCTGCTGCTTTGCGGGAGCGCGGGGCCCCGCGAGCCCGGGGGTGCTGGTTGTTTCCGGGGAGCTGCGGCCTTGGTGGGGTGGGAGAAGCGTTGGGCCGTAGGGTCGAAGGACTCGCCGGACTCCGGGGCTGGTTTCAGTGTAAAGTGCCTGCTGCATCAATAAACTTCTTGGATCACGTGAGTTAAGTCATTTGTTTTTCACTAAATCTCACTCAAAAGCCGAGGCAGCAGGTACCGGTTCTAAGGCAAGTGTCCGCCTTCGCCTGAATGCTCTTAACTCGCCTGTTTATAGAATTTGTCCTAAAACCCAGCGGTGGTGGCTGGAGGGGGGGAGACCAAGCTCAGCTGTTCCATCCAGGCTGCAGTGAACGTGACCCAGAATCACCCAAGCCAAGAAAGTTCAGAGCTTCCTTCTGAGCTGCCCCCGCTCTGGGCGTTCAGCACCAGCGGGCCCTGCCCAGAGACAGAACTCTGCCTCCTTCCTGGCAAAACTCCTGCTGAGAAATCCAGCCTTAATTAGAGAGGTGACACCATTCTTAATTAGAGGGATGACACACGGATCATAATTAGAGGGGTGACACACCATTCTCCCCCCGGGCAGAAGGTGTGGCTTGTTTCCTGCTTTAAAATTCTCTCAACTGTAAATAGCTCGAGCATCCCCCTGGGGAGAACCAGAACTATAAAGAGAAAGAAAGCAAGAGGAGGGGTTTAATCCAAAATGTATTGCACCACAAATTTCATAGTGTTTCATAATACAATCCATATTTACAGCATAGAAGGAAAGAAATCCAATGGCCATAGAAAGGATTATGTATACCACTGTTCTTAGACGAGGGAAAGTGCATCAGCTTTTTAATATATGCATACACACCATTCTTGCTCTGACATCTAAAGAAAAATTCAACACTTAAAAACTAGTTTTTGCAGTGAGTTGATCCTGTGTGAGCTTTGGGATCTTAAACTGAAGTTGTGTGAGACTGTATACTCACTAAGACTGGATTTTGTCACTGTTCAGGCTGCCTGTCCTGCTGTTCTCACTGTTCAGCAATAACCTGCCGAGGCAGGATCAGCATAACCCGATTAGTCATGCAGCAGGCTCAGCGTGAGCAGAGGGAGTCCTGTGCCACGGCCTCGGGTCCCTCAGAAACAGGCCAGGGCGAAGGGACAGCCTACAGAAGACCTTGGAGAACAAAATCTTCCCAGAACCAGCAGGGTTCTCCTGCCCGCGGCGCTTGGTTTCTGTAGAGAAACAACTGATACAAATCTACTTTTTGACTGTTCATACGAGAGCGGCGTTGTGCTCCCCACAGCCTCTCGGTGCTGCTGTTGAGTACCACAGATCAGGGTACGAGAGACTGTCTGGACAAGCTTCAGTTTACTAAAAAAAAAAAATCCTGTTGGTTTTCCTAACCCCAAATAAATAAACCCCAGCTCTAACCTGAGGGGCTGCAGCAGCTCCCAGCCGCCACGGGACCCTGGTCCTCATCACCCCCCCGGCCTCGCCGCTGCCACCCCCAGGCTCCAGCGACAAACCTCAACGGGGACTGTGTCTCCTAGAGCACAGGCTGAATTTTCTTGAGGATATTTAATAAAAGTATTGTTAGTAACACAAACCTCATGGTAAGAGCATTGCCAGCAGCAGAGCCTGCTCATCGAATCCCGTACACGCGCAGGTTTTTTTTTTGAAATATGTCCCGTTTTTTTAAGAAGTCAGACTTGCTGCTGCTTCCTGTTTTCATCTAGATTTCACCGTGGTGTTAATAACTACGGGCAAAATTGTGCTTCCACTGTGTGAGGGAAGAGCCACCTTGGTCCCCTTTGCCTAAGGGGGGAGGAAAGCAAGCTGCTGGAACCAAGATTCGTTCCTTAAGACTTGAGGTTTTTGGTTTTGAGGGTAAAATACATGAGCAGCGTTTCTTTTACCATGTAGTTAGGATGGAGTTAACAGCCCACTACATGTTCATAACAGTTTTTAAGCATCAGAATTTTATAAGTACAGAAAACCACAACCAGAGAGGCAGATACTGGTTATGAAGATTTGTTGCTAGCAGACTTGGAAAATTTAAAAAAAAAAAAAAAAAAAATCAAATTGTTTAGTACCAATATTCTTCACCCTTTGTCACTATTTTATTCTTTTTTAAATTAAAAGGTACTCTCAGTGTGCATTTACAATACCTGGAATTCAGCTTTAAAAATTTAAAATGGTTTAACTACCCCGTCTTCCCAATGCTAACAACCTATGGTACAGGCTAATAGATTAGTTTTAAAGGCGACTGAGTATTAGGTACTATAATTAAGACCATTTTAAATATTATTTTTCTTTAAGAAAAGTAAAATCAGACAACTCTAAAGTTGTGCTCTCAAATTAAATAATCATCAACATGCAGCCTTCAGGACTGCAGGCCAGGATATACGCACCTTAAATTACACAGTGATACGAAAAAATGTGAACTGTTAGTTATGTCAGTATAACAAGGCAAGGCAGATTTCTTTTTTGGTTAAAGCTCCTGCTCCTGTTCTTTAAGAGGCTTTTCCAGCTCTCAGTACTGCCAACGTGGTTTTTTCCCCCCACTGCTTGCTTTCCCCGGCGAGACACGAAGGTTTGACCGGGCCCGGAGGGTCTGAGCTCCGGGCAGCAGCGGGGGTCGCCACCGCGGGCGACGGTACCTTTGGTGCCAAGAACCGAGACTGGTGAGCACAAGGAGCTGCCCTCCACCAAGAGACCCTCGAGACCACGGTCCCCGAATCCAACCCAGAAGAGGCGTTTTTCTGTTTGTAGTGAAAATTTCTCCTTGCACAGTATTAGTTTTGTAAA